TGTGTGTGTGTGTGTGTGTGTGTGTGTGTGTGTGTGTGCGTGCACATGTGTGCGTGTCACTTATATGCATGAATACCGTTGTAGGTATTTCTCTGTTTTCTCCTGCAGGATGAAGAGACTGAACTGAAAAAAGAGACTTTCAGAACCTTTTGTTGAGACGTGTTCTGGTTTCAGGATGTTTGTCTGTCTGCAGACAGCAGAGGTTCTGTCTGCAGACAGCACAGGTTCTGTCTGCAGACAGCAGAGGTTCTGCAGCAGAGGTTCTGTCTGCTGCTCCACGTCTTCTTTTCTTTAGTTCTTGGGTTAAAGTTGCGTTTGGGGTCAAAGGTCAAACGATGGAACACGTCTTCTTCTGTTTCCTGTTTGTCATAAATGAAACTAAACTCAGGTTTCAGCTTTTTGAAGCCATAAACTGATTTATGAGAATATTTTAAAGGTGAACGTTTCTCAGCCACAACATCAAGACCAGCTGTTGGTCCAGGTTCTGGCCCGTCCAGGACCCTCCTGGTGGTTCTGGATGGAAACATGACTTTCCTCAGCTGTCAGAAGATCTCAAGATGATTTCATTCAGTTAAAGGATCATGTTGGACTTTATATTTTGGATCCATTCTGTTTGTTTGTTTGTTTGTTTGTTTGTTTACTGCAGCTGATGCAGGTTTAGCTTGGATCGTGATTGGTCCAGTCATCTGCTTCATCCTGCTGCTGTTTGTGGCTGGTGGTGTTTTTTACATCATCAGGAAGAGGTGAGGAATAAGATCCACCCTGTAGTTTTCAGAAGCATAAAATTTAATTAAAGCCACGCTTGATAAACTTTTTCTGTGATTAGTGTTCAACGTCTCAGTCCCTTTGTGGTTGTGTTGCAGACAAATTGAGGGTCCGCTCGGAGATCTCATCACCTCACCAAACCCCGAATACTTCAGCGCCAGCGACAGTAAGGAAAATATTATTATGCAAATCCTGAGAAGACAACATGTTGCTGACGCTGCTTTCTGTGGACAACCCCAATGTTGTAAAAAGGTTGTGTAAAGTGCAAATAAAAACAGAACGAAAGGGTTTGCAAATCTGACAATTCCCTATTTTATTCACAATGAAACAGTCAAAATACAAAAA